CGCCTCCCTTTGGCTTCTGAAATTTAACAGGAAGTTCCCACATACATTTGCAATTTATATTATTTTAATAAAGGAGAACAATAAGTATATGAAGTCAAAGGTGATATTTCAAAGCAGAAATAACTAGCATCAGTCAGTGCCAATATGGTTTGTCTAGGTTTTGTCTCCCACAAATAGAAAAAACTCCTGTTTTCAGAAGGTCTAATCAGAGGAATCCTGTTAAAGGAATTAGGTGATTTTCACTTATTTCCCCCTCTATCTGTTGACATTTATAACCTCTGAAGCTCTCTTATGAATGCTGTGAAGGTTCTCCATGGATGCATTAAATTTCAACCATGAATTCTCTTTTTTCTGTATTATGGAAAAAATTGTTCCTGAAATGGAAGCAGACACCACCACATTACACTGTAGGAGGGAGTTCAAAGCATGTATACTTCCTTTCACTCTTCCTGAGTGTTCATTACCACTGGAAAAACCATTGTTTTAACTAATCTAATCTTTATTGCTACTGAAATATTCTTATCCTTCAACATCTTGTCTATGTTTGCCATCATCTTCCTCCCTAGGATTAATTTCTTTCTACAGTCACTGTGCATTTTTATTTATTCTTGAGTCTAAGAAAAATCTACCACCTTTACTTTTTTGACATCCACTGTAATTTTACTAAACATGCAAGAATAATAAATTTAACATGAAAAATGAGCAAAACTATTCATTGAATGTTTCTGCTGATGGAAACACAGCTCAGCTGCAAAACAGTGAATACACGTTGGCCCAGTTCCTTAACGGGATCACTGGCAGATGTGCATGTTTGTGTATTATGAGAACATGAAAAAGGGATTAATTGATCCAGTCAACTAACCACCAAAATGTTAAATTTAACCTAAAACTGACTCAGTCATGCACTGGGTTAAACTAACAAACCCAGTCAGGACTCAGTTAAACTAACTCCATCTACTTATGTTGTGGGAACACATTATCCCAGTCAGTTGACTGATTTTGCATACCTATGTTTTCCCCACATCAAATCAAGAAAAAAAGACTTAGAGAGATAGGGTTTTCAAAAACCAAGTCTGTTTCTTACAAAACCTAGTTCCAGTAACCTTATTACTCAAATGAAATAAAAATACAGACGCATTGGATTCATATAGGCCCCCTTCTCTAATTATCAAGGCTGTAAAATCTTTACAAGTATTTTAGCAAATAGATTAGCAATATTGACTCCTGAATATATTAATGAAGATCAAACAGCTTTTATTAGAGGTAGATATATAATGGAACCAATACAGAAACTCATTAACTTGTTGTACTGAAGTAAAAAATCTAAAAACAGTTTGCAATCATTTTGTTCGATATTGCAAAAGCCTTTGATAAAATTAATTGGTTTTATCTATTTCCATTATTAAAGCATAGGAGTTGGCGGGCAACTTTATACCAGCAATTTAATGTATATTATACAAAGGCTAGTTTAAGATTAAATGTATAGGCACTTCTTCATTTAATAGAAAACCAGGGACAAAACAAGGGTGTCCTCTCTCATTACTTTCCACTCTTGCTACACAACCCATAGATAAGGAAATTAGAGAATATCCTAAAATTAAAGGCATACAGTTTAAAACAAGTTGTATGAAATTAATTTGTTTGCTGATGATACAGTTCTAATTACTTCAAACTCTAAAGAGTCCATTTCAAAATTAATGAACCTTATTCATTCTGAATATCAAGAACTCTAGCAATTTGACAAGCCTATACATTAATCTACCCAAACTGGAAATGATATAATGTAGAAAAACAATTACCAGCAGATTTACAGAGATTATTAGCAGTTATTTGGGCATGGTCATGCCAAAAAATGTGGGGAAAC